AACATCAAGATTAGTTTGATTCAAATGATCCTGAAATTAAATCTCTCCTTGACAACATGCATAAATGTCATCAGGTTTGGATGGCAGACAAAGCATGCCTATCAAAGGAACTGGCCTTTAAATCAGCCAAGGGAAAAGTCTCAAGCAAAATTGAGGGAGATGAAGTAAGGCTTAAGGCTAAAGATTTGCAGGAGGCTGCTGACAGATGGGACCTCAAAATCACTCTACCAAAACTTGAAGGGTATTTTGGTGCCATTTTTATCACTGATCTTTTCTTCGGATAACACTCTTTTGACAGAAAAAAGCTGCATTATCAAACGCTGGGCAGAACACTTCTTCACAGTCCTAAATCATGATTCGTCTGTTGATACTGAAGTAATAAACAATCTTCCTAAGAGAAGACCTGTTGTGTAAAGTCTTTCTGCTAACCCTTCAACCTTTGAGCTCAAAAAAGCCATCAGATAGCTTTCGAATTGAAAAGCCCCCGGCGAAGATGGAATTCTAGCTGAAATATACAAATGTGGCACCAATCTTTTGACATACAAAATTTGTGTAATTTCAACCTTGTGTGGGAAAAAGGAGAAGTGCCACAGCAGTATAAGAATGCTTCAATTGTCCATTTGTATAAGTGCACATGGAACAGGTGTGAATGTGACAACCATAGAGGAATATCTGTTCCTTTGGTTGCTGGCAAAATCCTTGCTTGTATCATCCTGAATAGGCTTAATGAATTTCTCTTAGAATCGGCATTACCAGAGACCCAGTGCGGTTTTCGATCCGGTAGAGGAACCACGAATATTATATTTTGTCTCCGGCCAGCTCAGGAGAAGGCATGAGAACAAAAGAAGAATCTATTCGTTGTTTTTGTAGACTTCACAAAGGCTTTCGATTTGTATCTCGAACTGCTCTTTGGAAAGTTTTGTCAAAATTAGGTGTTCCAGAAAAATGCTTCATATCATTATCTCCTTTCACGAAGGAATGAAAGTTTTTCTAAGGTCGGGGGGGGGGCGTGAGCAATCAAGCGCCTTTTTCATCCCCAACGGTACAAAGCAAGGTTGCGTTCTTGCTTCTCTTCTATTTGCACTTTTCTGCTATGCTTGAAAAAGCATTCTCTGACTTAAGTGAAGGAGTCAATGTTGAATTCAGAACAAGTGGAGGTCTATACAATCAGCAACGTTTTAAATCACAATCGAAACTTGGTTTGCAGCTGGTACGCGATCTTCTCTTTGCAGATGATGCCGCTCTATTAGCACACAGTCTAGAAGACATTCAAACTACCCTTGATAAATTCTTTGAAACAGTAAAAGAATTTGAACTCACTATCAACATAAAGAAGATTGAGCTAATGTACCAACCAGTACCAGGCTATCCATCTCTCACAAATCCTTCCGTGTTCATTAATGGTACGGCATAAAAAACTGTTGAGGCTTTGTTGTGGAGATATTTCGCAGTGGAGGCTTGTATTTGTACTAAATCGGTCCTAAATAGTTCGACGTACAAAACGTTAGGAACTTGATATAATAGGTATTACGCAGAGTAATCTTGTTGTGGTCGCTGACTACTTTCGTATTCGACTAACTGTCGTCCGACATCGACTGACCGTCGTTTCTCTTACTACTCTTACTTATATTAGGTGGGAGAGTCTATTAACTATAGAATAGGTGTGTTTCACCATAACAGGTTTTCACATATCTTGGATCAACAGTCTCTTCTGATGGAAAAATAAACTGAGAGATCCAATCCAGAATATCCAAAGCCAGCACAGCATTCGATAATCTTAAACGTAGGTTATGGAACACCAAAGATGTGTATCACAGAGTTAAGATCTACAGATCAGTCGTTCTCTCAACCCTTCTCTATGGTGCTGAAACTTGGACCCTATACCGCAAGCATATAAACCAACTTGACGCCTTTAACATGCGCTCTCTTTGTGCCATATGTGATATAAAATGGGATGACAGGATTAAAAATGGTGCAATACTGAAGAAATGTAGCGATATCACAGCCACTGAAACCATTCTAACAAAGATACAACTTAATTGGACTGGTCATGTTATGAGAATGGATGAGCATAGGCTTCACAAAAAGGTGCTGTATGGACAACTACCAAACTCCAAGCGTTCAGTTGTACGTCTACTCTTACGCTACAAAAACAAATTGAAAGACAACTTGAAACGTCTCAACTTTGATCTGAGCATCAAACCGAAAGGAAAAATTGATGTGGCTCATGCGATGCATAAATTGTCCTATAGAAAATACTGCTTATTTTCTATCCAATGGCAATTGAGTATTTTGTGGGTGTGGTGTATGTAAACAACCGCTACATGATTAAATTTACTAATTCCATAAAAAATACTGTGGAGTATTTCAAATAGAAATTTAAATGATTTTTAGTCGTTGCTTCCGAAAAACCAATCGAAACGGGCATTTTTTTAGAGAAATGTAAACAAACTTTTTTTTTCGTATTTGCAAATCCCGCTAAAATAAAATATACATTCCTGAAACGTTACTTTCGTAAAATTAGGAAATTTAAAGTTAAATTAATCTGTTCTAAAACAAATAGCACTTACTTATAGCATAAAATTTTCTAGACAAACATTTTTGACCTCGGGGTCTTGTTATTTTCACGTCTCCATCGATAATTTGATGGTTGAATGTGTTGACAGGTTTAGTACAGTGCATCAAAAGTGACATAACGATTTTTTTTTAGTTTCTTATAATAATTTAAAATACTATAAAAATTTGAGTTACTTCTATCTCTTTCATTATTTAATAGCTAAGATAATGATAACTAATTTTATTAAATATTAATATTACATTAAGTTACTATTTATCATATGTACAAAGATTTTGCTTAAAAACTCATGTTTTGCCTTTATTTTGTCATTTTTTTTCAATTCTAGTATATTTTATATGCATATATTAGTAGATCAGATCAAATGATGGTCCCATTAAATGTTATAAGTTCAATTGCTGTCGGAGAAGCACATATTTTCTACGAAAATAAAAATTAAAAACAGTACATTTACTTTGTAGAATCGTAATTCTACACATCTGTGCAAAAGCCATCTAAAAGTGGATCACAGCGATATTCTTGCACAAAACCAGCTCCACACATATTTTCCAAGAATTCGCTTTCTGATTGGTTCATAAACAAGCAAGTGGGCGTCGCTATCCACCAACTCAGGTCTATTTTTCATCTCGTGATCAAGTTAAATATTCTGGCGCTAATTTTCTGGGATCTATCACGTGTCCACCCAAGTAAATAAATTCAGCACACAAACTCATCTCGCTAAGTGAGCATCGTGACCACAAAGCAGTTGCTAAATAAATCCATGTCACTTTATCATCTAAACTTTTTAAAGTTACCTTTTAATTAATACAAACCTTCAAACATCACTCACTCATCTTCATATTCAACTTCGATTATTAAACAGCAGAGAATTGTTTAACACTTCAAGTTATAAATCACACAATATCATTTCTCTTCTGAATTTGCTCAAATAATTCAACATTATTTCTTGACAAAAAAAACGGTCAAAGGAAGATAACTTTTACCACGACTAAATTTATCCAAACTACATTGAAAATTTACATTGCGCAAAAGTAAAACTGTTTAAATTCCACGTAAACAGATTAATAATGTGTACTTTTCATCACAACTTCAACATATAATCTTTCACTTAAACTCAAAAACTACATTAAACACCCCAAAAAGAGTTTATACAAAAATTTAAACAAATACCACACAGATTTCATTTACAAATCTGAATTCACTCCAGCATAAATCGTTGTATTTTCTTATGCAATGTAAATGAAAATTAGTTTGTTGTTATATAATATAGTTTTGTGTTATTTCTCATTTTTGTTCATTGCTCTGTAATTCATTGAAGAAGTAATTAAATGTGTTGAGGATTTAGGTTACTTTGAACATGCAAATGAATTCACTCTACAAATCCCGACGTACCTTTACAAGTGGGTAACCTCAACGTTGCATTGACTTAAATAAATTATATCTATAAAAAATAACATATAAACGGATATATATATATATATATATATATATATATATATATATATATATATATATATATATATATATAGTGCTGGTGTTAATAAAACAGTGCTCGATGTAATATAACAGAGCTATTAACTTGTGCATGAAACCCCGAGTCGTGCTAGTGGTGAAGGATATATATATATTATGTGTGTGTGTGTGTGTGTGTGTGTGTGTGTGTGTGTGTGTGTTGCATTTTTAGTATGACAGTTATATATTCTAGTTTTACGTATTTTGGGAATTAATTGTTAAGGTGTTAGCATATAACGGATATACTAATGCTTAATGTGAGCCTCTTCCAAGTATTCCATTAGTTCTATTAAACTACTACTAGTCTCTCGTAAACTGACCTATGGTTGAACACTCACTAACATTATGTCTCTATCAAATTGACCTGTGCTTAAACTTAGTTGACGAACTCTAGTCAATTTGTTACATCAATTATGTCACAGACAGATTTTCAAAAACTATAAACTTACAGTCTATAGTTTTGGGAAAGGTCATTATAATCGCATAGTTAAGTAAGAAAGAAAGAAAGAAAGAAAGAAAGAAAGAAAGAAAGAAAGAAAGAAAAAGAAAGAAGCAAATCCGATGATAGATAGAGAGTTAAAAATACGCCTGTTTGAACACTCAAGAAAGGACCTTCATAACCCCTGAAGCATAAATATGAATAAATATCTATGCAGAAAATAAACAAATATGATAACATTTTAAACGCCTGTAGGTAGCAAATAGTAATGCTGATATGAGAATCCCCTACCAACTGACGTATTCACACACCCTAACACGTTCCAGTCAAGTAACACGTAAAAAGCTTAGGTTGGCCTCCACTGAATTGTGCAAGTGTTTCTTTCGCCTTCTGTTCTTGAAGCTGCTAAGAAAATAAGTTTCGTGAAGAAAGAAAAATTTAGAAAAAGACGTAATCTACCTAAACAACTGAAAGATGTCTGATGAAACACAACGGTCTACAATAAGTGAGCACGACAAAGCTGTGTTGGCCAGGATTTTTAATCCTGAAGCTCCATATCCACAAGACGATGATGAGATTGAGAATGATTCAACGACGTCCGCTGTTAGCCAATGTACGTTTTTGTTTTGCTTACATTTTTTTTGTTTTTTTTTTATTATTATTGCTGAATTATTTCCCCCCCCCTTTCTCCCCCTCCTTGTGTCTCTCTCTCTCTCTTTCTGGATCTCGGTATCTCAGGATCTCTGGATCTCTCTCTCGGGATCTCTCATAGTCAAAAAAAAAAGAAAAGTTCTTTTGGAAGTCGCGGGAAAAAAGAAAGAAAAGTCACACACAATATTTTTTATTCAAATGATTTTGAAGTCATCCCAGAAAAAAATTTTTTCACTTGCCTGTTTAAAAATGTATCTTTTTAAAATACATATTGATTTTTATTTATCTCATTAATTTAGTAATATGACCACGTGACCAATCACTTCTCGACACACGTTACGTTTAAATGTCGAAATACTTATTTGTTAAACTTGCGAAAATGTAATCTCGCTTTTGCTTTTACATGAACATTGGGTCAATTTTTGCGGGCTTTTATTTATTTATTTCTTTTTCTTTTTTACATTTTTCGGAGATTCTGAAAGAGAAATATTTGCACCAATGCACTCGTACTTAAAATATATAGAGAAAAAAGTTAAAAAGGTAAATATAAAATTTGAGATTGAGATTGCATGGCAAGGGAAAATAAAAAATTATATGCAACAATAATAAATAATTATAAAAAGAAAAATTCAGTTCATGAAATCAGGACGAAGAGTCGGTGAAAAAAAAAAATTAGATTTCTTTCTTTCTTTTCATTTTTATTGCATATTTTACAAGTAACGAAAAAACTATAAAATCGCACATTAATAGAAGAAAAAAAAATTGTTACTTGCTTCAGTTCCCAAATCAAATTTTTTTATCATTTTTTTACATATATATTATATATTTTATTTATTTATTTTAGTTTGTGATAACGAACTGCACGCACATACATACACACACATACAGATATAGTATCTATCTACTTCTGTGTATTAGTAGTATGCATTTATGTGTTTGTATGTGTGATATAAAAAATAGTGATAGAGAAATTTTCAAAAGATACGAGTATTTACGGATTGAATGTATGTGTGTTTGCGTGTGTAATTATTTAAATATGCTAATATTTATGCGGAAAAGCGCTCAATATCGGAGATAAAACGCTGGCATTTTAGTGGATATAGAACTCAACACTTCATCGTGATTATCAGTTTAGGCCTGAAACGATCTTATACAATAATAACAATTTATTACTTCACAAACGTTATTTTTTTTTTTAGTAGATAACCCTATTTGAGTTAATGCTCTGTTTTTAATTTTTTTTTTAATATATGTGTATTTATTGAAAAAAATTTATTTCGTCTACCGGAGGACACATAAACAATATTTCGAGAAATCGAATCCAGTTGGAAGACACATTTTCTTTATTAAGTATTCTTGAGTTTGTAGGCCGGTAGACGAAATAAACAATGTTTAAAAAATTAAAAGAATAAAAAAAAAAAAAAAAAAAAACGGAGCGTCTACTTAAATAAGGGTATCCTATCCACTAAAAATAACGGTTTATAAAAATAATATCTGTCAATTCTTCAAATATTGCGTTGAAAAGTTTTTTTTTCTTGTCTTTTTTTTTTTTTTAGAGTGAGAGTCACACTACAAGGACTGTACGCCACTCGAGCTAGAGGATTAGGTACTTTCATGAGATCGCTAAAAAAAAGAGCATAGCATGATGAAAAAGACGCTAAACTTGACGAAAACAAAATTTTAGCGTCTAAATGTTTATGTTATTATTAAGAGGAAAGAACAAAGTATTTTTTAATTATTTTTTTAAAATGTTTCCTTCTTTTTAGAACATTCTAAATTTTGATTAAAAAAACCTTGTTTCTCTTTGTATCACCGGAACTAGTAAAATAACATAAATTTTTAGCACTTTTTTTTTTTTTTTTTTTTGTATGACAGACGTTAATTTGCCAATACTTGCAAAAATAAAAATAATTTAATTGTCTGATTTTAATGAAACTTTCAGAAACTATCCACAAATGATGGAACTTATATGTTTTCCTTTATTAAAGTCATGGCAAAAAAATTTTTTTCTATATGTATTACCCCGACCCTCATAACTAATTGTAGGAAAACTATAATTTCAATTTTGGAAAGATAGTGATTAACCTGTTACATTGGCGGACCGGTGCTCAAATAAAGGCTGAAGTAAAAATTTGTGTTCACTTCAGACTAATGACCTTAGTCTAGGGGTGAAAAGCATGAATCTACTTTTCCTGATAGGTCAGATAATGAATTATTATTTGCTAGTATCTAACTTAGTACTTGCAAGCTATTGTATATTTTTTAAAAAGGACCTACATCTCCGTCGCCTCGAGTCTCTTCTTCATCTTTGAGGAAATCGTCCAACATTCGCTGCCGTAAAGAAGGACAGATGTCACGTAACAGCTCAGTATTCTTTTCTTTGTTACCAAAGAAATTCTCCTGTCTCGCAATACTCTGCCCAGCTTTTGAAATGCGTCCTTGGCCATCCCCATGCATCTCAAAACTAAGTAGCATCTCTGATATGTCTTTTCCACACGATCAAAACGGAATAGTTCATTATTTATGAGGTACTGGCAGAGCGTAAAGTACGTACGTTCTAACTAAGGAACTAAGACTTGGTGGGGACAAGCAGAATTATAGTTGGGATAATTTAGTAATTATTGTTTAGGGGTAATCTTTGCCATATGGTTAAACAAGGGGCTTTATTCATTTTAACCAAAAGACGAGATGTTTTAAATAAGTTCAGATGAGTGTTGACATTAAAATTCTGGTAAAGTTTAGCATACGAACCTGTCGTAATGAGAGGACGTGTCTCGTTTCCCTTCTGGGAGGTTTGTTAGCTCTTTGTTTCGACAGGGGAACCACAAGATTTTTCTTTCCTTTTTTGAACTATTTTACTGTTTGATCTGCAAAGTTGGTCGGCTGGTTTTGTTTAGCGGCACATCAACACCACTATGGATTATTTAATGATGAAATCTAAATGTTTTCAACAAAATTTTATGGTTTAAACTGAATAAATTTGGAATTAGGCCTTCTACTACGGTTAAAATATATTGTTGGCCATTCAGCTTTAATTATAAATTGTTAGAAATTTTACTCTAAGTATTGTTGGTTGAATTTGTTTAGCAGCATATCAACCTCTATCGGTTTATTTATTGCCAAAATCTAAATATCTTGAACACAATTTTATAACTTCAACTACAGATAAAATGTATTGTTGGTCATTTTTCTATAAAATGTATTCTTGGTAATTCTACTATGAAATATATTGTAGGTTATTTTGCTTTAAAAATGTCTTTTATATAAAAAAAAAAATGTATTGCGGGCATCTTCACCATAAAAATGTATTTTTATACTTTTATACCTTGGGTGTTAGCGGGGAAACCAACCCGGCTGAGGGTGAACCTGAGAACAACAGAAATTAAGAGATGATTCTACGCTCCTGAAAACCACCAATCTCCCGATCAGAGGCCTTGTTACCCGATGTAGTTTATAGTCATACCAAGGACTAGTGCGTTCTGTATATAAATATATATAAAATCCATTATGTGTTAAATTCCCTTTTTTTTTTAAATATGTGAAAACATTCAACCGAATGTCCTGATAACTTAAAACCCCTTTCCATCGCAATAATAGACCCAAAACTTAATTTGAGGCTTCATTTATCGTCCTGTTCACACTCCTCCTCGGTCTTTTGAACAGGAGTAGAGGTTTATCCCTTGTTTCCTGTTTAGGATTGAATTTCTGCTTCCTTCTAATATCTTTTATTTTATTTTATTATTTTATTTTATTTTTTTAGATTTTTGGCCTTGAATAGTCGGTTCCAATTGGTTTTCTTGTGATTTCTGAAACAAATGTCAAAGTCTATTTTACACTTGTAGAATAATTCCCTTTCTGATGCAAAAAAAATAATAAGATTTTTCTCGATTATTCTTTTTAACAATATAAATTTTATGAAAATCGATCAAATCTTTTTACACCATTAAATAGTTTCTTTAACATTCTCGACTGACAGTGGAAATGGAAAGACTATATTGAATCCATTGCTAGGTCAGTTGCTAAGAAATTTGGTTCACTGTGTCGCGCAAGACAATTTTTCTTTCCAGAATCTATTCTACTTATAGTCAACCATTCGTCCATGCTTAGAATATTTCTGCCACATATCGTCTGGTGCTCCGACTATTTATATAGAGATTCTTGATAAAATCCAAAGAAAAATCAGAAATATTATTGGTCCTGACCTGGCATCTCGGCTTCAGTCACTTTCCTACCGCCGTAAGTTTGCCTTTCTGTGTCTTTTCTATAAATACTTTTATGGTAATCGTTCAGGTGATCTCTTCGCTATAGTACCTCGATTTTATGAATTTAAACACTGTACCCGATTGACTACTATGTGTCGTCAATTCACAATTGAATTGGCTAGATATAACCGGAAGTTTTATGCTAATTACTTTTCTTGTACTTTTCGCTCTTGGAAATCTCTTCCGGTCCCATGATTTCCAGCAAATATTGATCTTCAAAAATTGAAATGCAATATCAAACGTTACCTTCTGTCTTCCTAGTTCCTCTTCTATTGTTCTCGCACCTTTATTTTTCTTTTTCTCTTATTCTTTCATACTAAGTAACACTTTGTTTCTTAGTGGCTTTACTGCCTTGGATGGGATGAAATTGATTTGTAAAAATTGGGAGACATTTTTTAATCTTTTTGATTATGCGATGAATGTATACAAGGCGGGATACTGGTGGGCAGCTCCCACAAAACAAACGAATTGTATATTTTCATGGCAAAGGCTAGTTATAGGGAAAATCACCAGAGAAACTTGCTTCCCTGTTACCTATAACCTTCCAAAATTTAAATGCAGTGTTAATTGCCAACTTTAGTTTTCCTGGATCCCTTGTCTTGTCCTTTGTCCTCACTAAAGTGTTCTAATTCTGTCCCGCTTTCAGTAAATCTCTTGCGTCTTAGTGGCATTATTCCCTTGCTTGGAGTGAAATGATTTT